AAAGCCATGACTGAACTGTAAAATACTGTGGAAGACAGGACTACAGAAAGTCTTCAGGGAAAGAGTGAAATGGAAAACCAAACTAAACATGTGTCTCACAATTTTACTTATGATTGCATGAATAGGAAACATCTATTTAGGTAAGTTTTGATTGTGATATTGCAAAGTTTCAAATTGAGTCCATTCCTCACTTCACTATGTATATGGTTCTGGAGGGAATACTTCCTTGGGTCGATAAGTAAAATTTCTAGGATCTCAAAATGTGTTTGTCAATGCAGTACCAGCTCTGTCCTTATCCAACACACTTGTCTAAAGATAAAAACAGCTTGAAAGAAAGAAAAATGAATTTCAGTTCTATTCAGAAGCAATTCAAATGCATTTTAAAGACTTAGATTTATGACTATTCCCTTGCTCTTATATATTTCAGGGCCAACTTTCATGTTCCATTTTTGACATCCCAGATAGAATATTGAGATATGTTTGGCATTGGAGACGAGAGGTTATGAGGAAAGAATTTCTACAAAAGCAAGTTGAAAATCAGCTTTCTTCTCATTGTGTACAAAGGGGAGGACAGGCTGAGAAAGTCACACCAGAAAGAGGAGATACCGTATTCCTCTAAACCCTGGATTTCCCAGAATGGCGCTGATTTCAAACTGTACCAACACGCCTGTTGTCAACCAACCTGAATTTAGAAAAGCTTCATTAACAGAGAGAAATTGCCAGAAACCAGCTTGCTTTTTTGGGGGGGTGGAGGAGGAGTGGTCAGATTTTAGAAACAGCACAAATATAAAGGTGGCAGAATTCACAAATCGAACCTGCAGAAGGGACTCTCATTTAGCATGAACACCTCCTATCCCTCACTACAGTCTGAAGAACTGGGGAGGAATGCTTAAACCACATTGTCTTTATGCACAGAGACCGAGGAGTCCAAACTAAAAAGGGCCCTAAAAATATCCTTGCCAATACACCCACCACTGTCCTCTTTTTTTAATTAGGACCATGAAGTGCAACGTTAAGTGTGTAAGAGCAAAATTGTACAGTATAATTGATGAAAGCAGAAAAGTCTCATAAACCTGTATTAAGGCCAAAGGAAATCAAAACATACTCAGGTTACAGCATGTGCTCATAAAAAAAGCTCTCAATTGGATTTCATGAGAAATATTGATCCTGAGCTCTGAATCCTCTCACTTTGGCTACCACGCATGACTGGGGTCAGTACCTTCTATGCTGGATGCCTTCGAAGGCCTTGACTCATGTAGACAGAATACAACAGACAGGAGTAACTTTATTTAAACAAATTATATCTGAGGCTGCTTATAAAGCAGCCAAGTGTACTCTTATTCAAGGTGTATAGACGTTGAAAAGAATAAATAAGAAAATAGTTGATTTTGTCAATGCCTCTCTTAAAAATTACAGTAGGTATGACCAGGTAAAATTTTATATAAAAAGACTTGATCAAATTAAAATTGCCCCCATACCCTGCTTAAACACAAAATGTACATTCTACATTTATTTCCTCGTAAATACACTATTTGATATTTGTGATATTCATTGCAATTAACCATATACCTTCCAAATATGACCCAAAGAAAAACCTATTAAAAGAGGTTCTTTGTCTTTAGTTTGAATTTAGCCAATGACTCTGGGCTATCACCTGTTAAACAGTGCTATCAGCTTAGTAGAAGAATTCCGAGTCTCTAAATCCACATTTGCATTGGCAATATTGTACAACTATGTTTCAAATCTGACACTGAAATTCACAGAGCTGTAAAAGGGAAAGGATGATTGTACATTGGTCAAAATCACTGTTCTCTATTGTTTGTAGTAACCTCCCTTTGGCTTGATAAACTTGTCAATTAACCTATACTTTCAAATATAAAATGCTTCAAAGATGTTTTTGGTGAAATAATCTCCTCTGGCAATATGTTTAAGATATTTGTTTTTAGAGTGTGAAGTGCAAGCAAGTAGTAGGCCATTGGAAACCCAAGAATCCCAGTAACACTGAAGAAAGTTTTGGTCCAGCTCACCGCCTAAACAGTGGAAGATGGGAAGAGTCGACCTGCAAACCCAACTTTCTCTTCCTGCTTTTCAAGTTCAGTCCTTTTTGTGTGTTTAATCCTACAGAATATTAGAAACAGTTTTCTAACTGGGCCTTCCCCATAGCAAAATAGCTTTCGCTTGAAAAAAATCCCATTATCCATTAGCAAGTGTGTTCATTGTCAGTGAACCAGCCTCTTCCACTCCAAAGAGCTATGCTGCCTTTTACAGACAGGATCCTTCTGATTGATCTAAGATTACCACAAAGACATTCATTCCATAAGCCTTGAGATATCCAAATCAAGAGCAAAGATCCTGGCCATTAAAGAATTTGTGAGTTAGTGAAAAAAAAACAGAGCATCATCCTTAACCACTTCAAGTACTACAACAGAATCCATTACTTTCATTAAAAAAGAAGAAGAAGAAAGAAAGGATAGAAAAGACCCACTAAAATATGGAGGTTGGACCTGGGGAAAAGGAAATTTCTCTCCTGGGAACTTTAGTGGCATAATCAAAACAAGTGAAAAATATGAACACCAGTGATTCAGGCATTTTTCACCCTACAGTAGCATCGCTGATAATCCCTCAAATGAAATCTTAATTTCCTTTTGTTAATCATCCTGCAATCTTGGATGAAAAAAATAACTAAACTATCCTCTCTCTTTAAATCACCATACAACTTCCCTATTTAAACTCTCATATTATGGAAACTACATAATCCACCTTTCATTAAAATTTCCCTTGTTGACGGCTACAAACCAGGTCAATTTCTTCTGGATTTTGCATACTTGTGTTACATATCTTAATTCAACTTATTGTAAAGCTTTAAAAAAGAGAAAGAGCTGGACTTAAAATACAAATAAAACAAATACTTCTTATATGTCTATGTGAACATTGACACCATTTACCGATTTTTCCCCTCTTTTCCTTGGGGCTGAGGGCCCTGTCAATAATCATTACTTATTAAACAGGCTGCCATTCCCTTCCATAGAATGTAGGAAGAGAGCATTGAGGGGTAGAAATAATTACCTTGGGCTTTTCTTTAAAGACCTCCGGAATGGAACGCAAGGAAATCAATTGAGCAAGAACATGAAATACTCCTACTGTGTAGTCCTCCCTCCTCCCCCAATGCATACAAGGGTTGGAGGTATACCATACTCCATTATTCATATCAACTGCATCAAAAAAGCAGATCAAAAATCTTGGGTCTTCAAGATAGACTTGTTTTCAATCCATTGAATAGGCTCACACATACACTCATGAATCCTTTATCCTTCTACAAAACTCAAGCTAGGTTTGTTGAGTGGAGGCTCTAAACACCTCCTGAAAAATGTGCTCTCAAAAATGACTGCTTTAGCCAAAGGGGAGAGAAGCAGCAAGTTACTAGCTCTACTGCCATTCTGGTTTATGGCAGCTTCCTTCCATCTCTCCTTCCTGTCTCCCAATTTATCTTCCAGGCTGTTTTTTCCAAAGCAAAGTAGGTTTTTGTTTTTGTTTTGTTTTTCCCTTTCCCTCTCCTGGACCTTACTTACAAATACACTAAATGCTTTAAAAAGAAAACAGTTTCAAGGGTTAAGTAACACTCAGGGTAAGATCATAGGTCAGGGAGATGAAAAATTAGCAGATAACTGAAAGTAAACCCGATTTTCCTACCATCACTGAAGAGTCAATGACGAACACTCTTTCTTCCCCCAGATGCTATGGCTCAAAACACAAATGCGATATAAAGCCAGCATAATCAGACAGTTTTTGCAAAATAGCCTTGCACAGAACTTGAACTAGCAGGTTGGGGTTTGTCCTAAATAACCTTCACAGGTTGCACAAACTGTTCCCATATCCTGATCAGATCAGCTTAAAAGATGCCTGAAATTTCCTTTGAACAAGAAGGAGGTGGGAGGTCGGGGTGGGAGGTCAATTAGTCACCTAAAACATTTATAGAAATATTGAGAAAATACGCACTTTCTATACAAATAAACAGAAAGCAATGATGCTTTGGGTATACTGGCCCATACTTGCAGCAACTGAGCCCAGGTTGAAGATGCTACATTCTAAGGGTGACATGCTTGCAAACGGTTGGATGTTCTCACCCCTGAGTGCAGAAAACTCCTAACTCGCCCATATTTTTCAGGCACAGAGGGAGAGGAGATAAGGTTCACACCCCACCTTTGGGAACGGAACAAAAGCAAAGGCTTGGCAGGGCTGAAAAAAAACTCCTCCTTCGTCAGGACCCTAGAGGTGGCAGCTCTGCAGGGCTCCCTTCCTATTTCCTCCTAGTTAACTCACTCTCGGCGGCCACAGAATCAATGTCTACACCTTGGAATGGTCACCGGCAGGCTAGGAGGTGATCAGTTTAGCCCTTTTCTCAAGTCTCCCAATGGCTTCTAATTAACCCTTTCTGGTTCCTGCCTGGGTCAGGGCTGCTGGAAGCGTCTTCAGCTACATTTTACCAAGATCTCCATTAAATCGTCACCCCACACATGGACATAACTTCCTTTTCTGGTTTATCGTAGTTCAATTTGCATGTGCTTTGCTTTCTTTCCTTCCTACCGGCGGGCAGAGAAGGGACTCAGTGCATTCGGGAAGGCCCTCTCTCCTCCCGGGCCCTCTACTGGAGCGGGATCCCGCAGCTCGCCAGCAGGTCTGCAGTGAGGAGGGATCGCACTCGCGTTAACCCTTTGAAGGGAGTCAGGAGATATGTTCTCATTTGGGACCCGCTAAAGTGGGGCCCGTGGAGCCTGACAATCTCCCTCCCCTTCCTCCACGCCACCACCCCCACCTCAGACCCAGAACAGGCTGGCACCTTCTTCCCCTCTGGTGGACAGTTTCAGCCAGCTCTCACTCTGCCCCAAACCTGGGATGGGGGAGGGGGCTTGCTAGAAGGCAGGCGGTGAAGGCAAAAGACAGCAGGAGGGCAGAAAGGAAACTCAGTAGTAAATCATAGTTGAGACACACTGTTTACTCACGAAATTTGGGGCTGGTGCTAGTTTCTGGTGTCGTGGTGGTAGAGGACGAGGAAGAGGAGGAAGAAGACGAGGCAGCATCCTGAAACGGAGACAGGGTCCAGGAGGGAGTAGAATCGTGAAGGTAGGAGGAGGTAGCGTATGCCGCAGTGGGCCAGGAGGGCATTGCCTGGGTGCTTGGGGTTCCTGGCACCGGGGGTCGGGAGCCCGGCGTGCTGCTACTGAAGAACGCGGCCGTGGTGGACAGGACCGTCGGGGGGGCCGCAGTGTTCCGTGCTGTGGTGGAGCGCGGGCTGGCCCGGATGGGCACCCGGTGCCCGGGGAAGCGAGTGGGCGCCCGAGTGACGGTGGTCAGGCGGGTGCTAATCCGGTTGGGCGTCCTGGAGGAGGCGGCGCCCCCGGCGGAGGGGGTGGCGGGGGACGTGGTGGAAGTAGTCGTGGTGGTGGTCTCCATGGCCTTGGGGAAAGAGCTGGGCTTGGAGAGGAAGAAGGGGTCCTGGCCCATCCCCTTGGAGTCCACCAGGTCGGTGGGCACGTACTCCTTGACGGAGCCCACCACGATCCATTTGAGAAGCATGAGGCTGAGCCCCAGGCCGATGAAGCCGATGAACAGAGGCACCACGCACAGCCACGTCTGCTGCCGGTTCCACACGATGCAGTCGCTACAGCGTAACTCCCGGGGGGGCTCGGCCGCCCCTTCGCCGCCGCCGTCCGGGCCCCCGCCCGCCGCCGCCGCCGCCGCCGCAGCCGCCGCGGTGCCCTCCTCAGCCGAGGCGGCGGCTGCCGAAGCGGCACCAGGTGGCGAGGCAGCAGCCGCCCCTTCACTCATCCTAGGAGCCGGTCTTCACCTTCGCCCCCCCGAGGGCCGCGCCAGAGGCATGGGGCTGCGCGGGCCGGGCGCGGGCGCGGGCTCCGGCGGCGGCGGCGGGCTCGGGCGCAGGCAGCGGCCGCGGCGGCCGCATGCAAATCGGCTCCCTGCCCCCACGCCCCTCCCCCCGAGAGGCGGGCGGCGGGCGGGGAGGAGAGGAGCGGGGGAGGGGACGGGGCCGGGGAGGGGGCGGCGAGGAGCGCGGAAGAGGGGCGAGACGGCCCCCGGCGCCGCCGGCCGGTCAGGGAGCGGCGGGGCGCTTGTGCAGCCCGCCAAGCGGCCTCCTGCGCGCCGGGGCCCCGCGCCCGCTGCTGCTGCTGCTGCTGCTGCTGCTGCCGCCCGCCGCCTGCGAGCGCTCCAGCCGCGCCGGCATCCTCGGGGCACCGCGCCCGGCCGGCTCCCTGGGGCGCCCGCTCGCGCCGCGTCTGGGCCTCGCGCCGCCTTCAGTGGCCCCGCCGGCCGGCCGCGGGGTGCCGGGCGCCCGCCAGCCGCATTCCGACACGGAGGGCCGGCCTGGGCGCCGCGGTCCTCGGCGGCTGCTCCGCGAGCCCGGCGATGAGGCGCACCTGTTCTTCAGCCGGCCCGCAGCCAACCCTCGGCCGGCGCTCTCCCGGGGAGACCAATCCCAGCGCAGCGCGGAGGGCGAGCGGCCCGGCCCGTTCTCCCCAGCCGCCCGCTGCCCCGCGCCGCCGCCGCCGCCGCCGCCCGAAGAGAGTCAAACTCCGGCGAACCGCGCCGCTGTCGCCGCCGCGAGCCGGGGGCTGGGGGCGCTCCGGGCGCCCGCGGCGGGTGCGGTCTGACCCGCCTCCGAGGGACCCGGCAAGCGAGCAGAGGATCGGAAATCACGCCCCGGCGCCCTGCCCGGCTGAGCGTGGGGAGCAAACGCGGGAGACTGCGTCGGGGGCTCCGGGGGACGCGGACCCCGGGCCGAGGGCGTCTCCAGGCGGATGCGGGTGTGTGTGCAGAACCGCCGCGGCGGGCTGAGATTCCGGCAGAGTAGCGCCTCCCACCAGCACCTAACGCCGGTTTCTTAATGCACACAAGATAAATAAATGATCCAAGCAAACCCCCGTTTGACGGGGGCGGGGGTGGCAAAAGCAGCTTCCCGACCGATTGTGAGCCGGTCTCCTGCACGGATCCTGTGGGGTCAGAGACTGACGCTGCTGGGCGAGGGGGCGGGGGTGGATGCCGGTGGGAGGGTGCCCGTGCGCTCCCCTGCCTGATGGCGGTGCGGCTGGATGGAGGGCCACCTTTGACTGAGTTCCTGAGAGATGCATGGAGCAGACGACCTTTGTGCAATCAGACCTGTTAGATCTCTCCAAGCCATTTATGGGAACTTGCCTTAAAATGTTGTCATTACATGTAAATGTACGCACAGATACACACGTTGCAAGGCAAGTGTTTGTGAGAGATAAATATAAAACGATTTGGGATTGGACTCCCAAATTCCGTTGCCGGTTTCTTCCCTTGGCTGGGGAGGCACCTATGTGGTACCTGCCCAGGCAAGGGGCAAAGAGCTAGTGTTAGCATGATATATGCTGATGGTGCAAAACCTTGCTTGCCAACTCTGTCCAGATTTACTGGTCTAAACTGAAAACCGAAGAGGAGAAGTTTTTATTTACAAGCTTTAAGAATATGAGGTTGAGAAAGGCAGCTTCCTAATACACTTCCCCAGCACTGTCTGATTGGCGTGGATGATGGAGTCCGCATTCCCTTGTCCTGTGATGGTCTCCACAAAGATGAAGTTTTCAAGGTATCCATTTTATTCACAGGTGGAGAACAAAACGTTACACTGAAGAGACTGCAGAGAGCAGAGGATGCATTGAAACAGGAAGCCCCTGGGGTTTGGTGCCTACCAGAGTACTTTGCACAGACACGGTTAATAAATTATTTTTGATGGCAGTAATGCGGCTGTCACCTCTTTCAGCTATAACATTGAGACTTTCCCCATAGGAAAGCTTTTGATTTTTAGTTTGATGGAACATGCCTTAATCTAGTGGTGCTGAATTATGATTACAAAAATTGCAAGCAAAAAAAAAATTACTTGAATCCAGATTCCTTTAGCTTTCCAATGCAAACCACTGCCCTCTTAAATAAAAACTGACCCAGCCTGTACCTTCTGTGGGTGCTAGGAATCTACTTACCAGCTAGGAATCTACTTACCCAGGCTTTCTTGTGTAGCAAATAAAAGCTTTCCTGCAAAACTCTTTGGAATTATAGCGGTGCTACTGTCAGCTATTTGAGACAGAAAATTACTTTTCCAAAGCACTCCTAGTTCATTGCCCACCCCACCCCACCCCCACCACCAGTGTTCCTGTGGTCTCTGGCATCTTTCCTGCCTGCTAGAGTAAATCCAGTGCATAAAGGGATGCTATAATGCTGCAGATGGGCAAATGCTCCCTTTCCTGAAGCCACAGTCCAACAGCATTCACTCCATGTTCTCTCAATACTCCCTAATGCCTTCTTCATCTGCCTCTCCAAATTCCCTCTATTTCTCATTTCCACTTGGCTTTAACAGCTTATTCATGTATCCCTGTTGAGCTCATTTTGCCCCAGATCCCAAGCCACCGTACTCAGCTACCCATTGGTTGTTCTCACAGTGAACATCATCACTAGAGACAGAGAAAGAGAGAAAGAAAAAAAAAAAACATCGCTTTGATAGCCTTGTATTGGGCTGTATTGGTTGCACCACCCTATCCAAGAGTGTTTGATGGGTGTAGCCATCATTAACTTGCAGTTTTATTGTGAGGGTCTCTGGTAGCAGGTGGTAAGCACTGGCACTGGAATTGAGAATGGGGAGGGGCTGTTCACAGTTGCCTCAAGGACAAGTGGTGGACCCTCTCACTGCTAATAAGCAGCCAGTTAGTCAGTCCCAAGGTAGGGAGGAGCCTCGTTTTTGTGACTCACAGCTCACTGGAGCAGAACGCTAAAGAAGCAGCTTCAGGCTCAGACTCTTAAGACAGGGATTCAAGTTAGAGCTCTGTCACTTAAAAGCAATAAAATCACTCTGGGCCACTGTTTTCTCAACTATGAAATGGAGGTATGATACCTGCATTTTACATAATTATAAGAAATTTTATAGCTAAATAGACTATTCACCTGTGGCACCTTTTAAGCATTATCCTGAGATATCTTCCTGTGGAGAGAATTATTCCAATAAATGGATATGTCATGCCTCATCCTCCCCTGAGCTTCTCATCTGCCTAACTATAATTACCTATGTAATGTATAGGAGTGTGTTTAGTGTGTCACTAGACCACATAGGAGATATCCACTACTGTGTGGACATCTCCACATAGACATCCACATAGGAATGGATATCTCCTTTGTGGTCTACTGACACACTAAACTTGGGATTTCTAATCATTGCCTAAAGTTTGACACAAATCAGCATTTCTATTGAAATGCAGTTTTCCCCTCAATGGCACCAATATCCCCAGACTGAGAGTCTCAGTGCCATCTCTGACTCCTTACCCCTCACTTCCCAAGTTCAATTAGTTGTCAAGTTATTTGCTTTCTACAATACGATTGTCCAGGGCTTCCTCCATTCCAAAATCTTTGATAAACGCTCATCTTTGAAACTACGAGGCTGTAAATGACCTTAGTGGCCAAACACCTCTGATGTGTCATCTCATCAGATGTCCCAGCCCAAGAATCATTAGGTTTCTTCTGGCTCTCTGGAGAAGGACCCTTCCTGGGGAAGACCAGTCAGCTTTTCAGTGTATATAGTTATAAAAGTCTTTGTTTTTTTGAGATAGAATGTCACTCTGTTGCCCAGGCTGGAATGCAGTGGCGCAATCTCAGCTTGCTGAAACCTCCGCCTCCCAGATTCAAGTGATTCTTCTGCCTCAGCCTCCCAAGTAGCTGGGACTACAGGTGCCCACCACCACGCCCAGCTAATTTTTGTATTTTTAATAGAGGCTGGGTTTCATCATATTGGCCAGACAGGTCTTGAACTCCTGACCTTGTGATCTGCCCGCCTCAGCCTCCCAAAGTGCTGGGATTACAGGGGTGAGCCAACACTCCTGGCCAAAAAGTCTTTGTGTTGAGACAAAAGCCTGCCTTCCCATACACTCTTTCTTCTTAGTTCACCATTCTTTATAGAAACCTTTTACAAATTAGGTACCAGGAACAGAGGATATAACAGAGAACAAAATTAAGGTCCCTACCTTCATGGAACTTGCATTTTAGAGAGGCTAACAATAAACAAACAAAATAGATAAATTTTATAGTATTTCAGAAAATGAAAAGTGCAGATTTGGACCACCAAGAACACACCTAGTTGGTATAATTACAAGGGACATCTCTTCTCCAATCCAAGATCCTCCGTCTGTTTCCCATCCCCCCAAGGCCATGAGAACTTGGCACTCCTAGCAACATGACCCCAGAGTGCTCTTTTATTCCCTGTGGGTTCTCTGGCTAGTGTACCCACTTTTGAAGCCAGCCTGGCGTGTGAAATCCTAATATTCATAATGTTTACTGGAATCGTGTGTAGCAGCAGTGTGGTTCCAGAACACATTTCATAGAGTAAACATTTTGCAAAGCATGAATGAGGTTAACCTTCCATATGATTGCATATGTCCTTTTTCTCGCTTGGTTTAGACCACTACTGTGATTATAATGACTCACATTTTTTTAGTAATCAGCAGGCCCTTTTTAAAAGAAAAGCCGATTGTTCTCTTCATAGGTCTCAACAAATAACTGAATTTCTTGTGGGTTCTTGATGCTGTATGTGTACGACCAACCCAAAATCTACTGGAAAATCCCCTCATGGATCACACTATTCATAACAGCTTGATTTCCAAGCATTTCTGCATGATAACCCAGTATCATAAATAAAACGAATAATAAAATACAAAAATTATACAGAGCAAAAATCTGAGAGTGGAAAGTGAAGAATTCCAGTTCTAACCATATGGTACTCACAAAAAGATGATTGTAACAATATTCAAACTTAAGATATTTGGAATGTCACCAAATTGCACTATCATAAATTAGGAAATGCTGACTACTGTATAACAGGATGTGGAATTAGAAGTTTTTAATAAGGCACTAAGGAAAAAAATAGACGTGAATTTTAGTGGGAGTTGCCAGAAAACAATACCC